GGTGTGGTATTCCAGTCAGTGAGTCACACTTGGGAAGGAAGCATGTGCTGATGCCCTGTGGCTGCACTAACACTTTGTAGGCTGTCTTTTAATTTATAAAGTAGCCAGTGGTTTTGGTTTTTTTTTTTTTTTGTTGTTTGTTTGTTTTTTAAGGGTAAACTCTGTGATTATTACTTGGTTAAAAGTTGTATGCTCTAAATGACTTTACTTTAAGAAAGGGGGGCAGTGCTCTTGAATTTCAAAGAAACTGAGGGTTAGTGATGGGTTGGGAAACAGTGTATTAGAGACACATTCCTGGGGTAAAATGGAAAAGACTTGAAATTAATGTTGTAGTGAAAGGAGAGAACTGGGCTGAAGACTTGCATCCTAATTGTGTGTCTTGGCGATGGGTAAGGCCACACCTCCAGGCAGGCTTTCCTGCCTCCTAGTGTCTACCTCTGGTCTAGAGTCGTTTTCCTAGTACCGTGCAACTGGCTTAGAAATGCTTCGACTGCTACGTTACTGCTGCCTGTGAACAACACTTGTGCTTCCTTTGGCACCCAGACCTGTGCTTTAAATGAGCATGTTAGGTTTTCAGAGACATTCATTATTTGACAGTATCAGCCTCAGTTTCTATTAATTGTTTAAAAAGCTAAATGATGAACTTGGTTCATTTATTTTTTTTTCATATTTGAGAAATGTCTTAGGATGCTGAGGTAGTAAAAAATTGCTCTACTCAAGGTTGTTCTGAACTTTCATTTTTTTTTAAATTAAGCTGTTCACTATTCATACATTGTAATTGAGTCAATTTAATATTTGAATATCTTAGATGTAGGCAACATGGCAGTTTTTGGTTTTGGTTTTTATTGTTGTTATTTGACTTAGAGCCTGTTCTCACTACTGGTGAGGTTGAAGCAGGACCGCTTGAGTACATGAGTTCCAGTCCAAGCTTGGACAGTATCAAAGTTCTCACTTCGAAAACAAAGTTGAATATGTGAAAAGTTAAAAACTCTGAGGTAAAAGTGAAAAACCCAGCCTTTCATTTTCTTGTCTTCTAGTTTATTTTATACCTCGGTCTTCTTGGTGTGTGTGTGCAGTATTCTATATGTAACATTGTCTAATCCCTAGCTGCCAAAGAAAGGCTATTTCCTTGTTCTCCTTAAACTAGGACTTCTAGAAGTAGACGCAGTGTAGGTAAACATTTGAGATAAAAATTAGCTTTCGGAAGAATGTATGTTTAGATAAAGTATTTTAGCACAAAAAAAATAATTTCCTGTTCTTTTGAGGTGGGTGGACAGGAAAGAACAGTTGCTGGATTTGAAGATGACCAGTGTAGCGCATGTTACTTGACAGTAGCCGTTCTTAAAGAGATACGTGTGCAGGCACTTGTTCATCATCTTTGCTGTGTGGTCCCGTGCTGTCATGACTGTTTTGATGGCCGTTTAGACAATCATCATTGCCCTCCCCAGGTTTTATTTTTATGTGTTGTGGGTGTTTTGTCTGTGTGCATGTTTGTGCACCGTGTACATGCCTGGTGTCCTTGGAGGGCAGGCAAGGGTGCCCAGATCCCTTGAAACTCAAGTTAGAAATAACTAGGGAGCTACCATGTGGGTGCTGAGAATTGAACCTGGGTCCTCTGGAAGCAGTCCGTGATTGTAATGTTGGGGCCCAGCCTCACTGCTATTTTGACATTAGCATTTACTGTCTAAAGAAAATAACAGTGTTATTCACTCCCAGGTTTAATTAAAAAAAAAAAAAGATTGTATCATCCTTGGAACTAGAAAATTAATTGTAATAGCCCTTGTATTGACAGCTTTTTTGTGAAGAAGAGTGAGAAATGCAACAGTCTCTCTGTCCACATGAGTAAATTCCCAGGCCCCAATACATGCTATTTGGTGCCTATTGTAAATTGTAACTTTTTCAAATGTTTTTGATTGTTGTTGATTTAAATGAAAAACCTGTGGGTATGTCCAGAAAAGGCAGGTGTGGCTTTTGTGCATCAAACTAGCTGCTTTTGTTCATAGGATCCTCCTTTTTATTTCAGAGGCAGACAGGCAATGGTTAATCAAATGGGTGTTTTGTAGACATACTGAAAATTAATGAAGTGAGTTAGTAACTTCAAGGACGACAGTGTTTGTTGTGGTGATAATGAGAACTCTGGAAAAACTGTTACTAAGTAGTCTTGTGTTCCAACAACTTTTTAATGAGTGCAAAGGGATATTGTGAGCATAAAGCTTGGAGCATAAACATGAATTGCAGACATTCAGTCTTCATTGTGATATATATACTTCCCTTATACCTTACCCATTATTCCACCCTCCTTTTAAATTGGGTTCTCATGACTTTCATTGTACATTGTAAGTGAGCAAACGAGGAGATTGCATTGTATGTTTCACACAATTTCCTCAGTGTGTGTGCATGTGCACTTTCAAAAACAACTCTTGCCTGCTTTGCTGCTCTTCTAAACATCCCTTTATCCTTGGTTCTTACTCTTCCTTGTCTGCCTTCACTTTAGTCTTTACTATGGCGTCGTTGAGTAGATAACTGTTTTTGGTCAGTTTGATGGTCACTTGCCTCTTGTGTTAACCTCATGCAGTGAAAAGACTATGTTGGTTTTTAATCTCTTCTTTAAAAACCCAAGTTATCCTTTGAATTTTAGAGGAGAACTCATTCTCTACCCAGCACTTGTCTACTAGTTTACTTAACTGGTCTTTTTGGGTGATGACAGGGAAGGATTTTACTGTGTACTCCAAGCTACCTCCACCTGATGGCCTCAGTCCCAGTGCTGTGGCTATAGGCATGCACCTCCAGGTCAGCTTTCCATTTAACTGTCTGTCTTCCCTGTTGGAGGTGTTCTGTTCCCCTCCCACCCTTCATGGCAGTTGTTTGTCCTGATAGCCTCCAGGTCCTCAGGGCCCGTCTTGACCCATGGTCACCCCAAGTCAGTGTGGTGCTGAGCCTTGTACCTGCTTGGCCTCTAGTTGTGTTGCTTTGTTTTGGAATTGCATTCTCCTCTTCAGTGGACATAACACACTGATGAAGCAGAGGAAATACATCATGATAGGACTCAGATTTGTGAGAATAGGTGTAGTGTGTACTTTATAGATGGGGGGGGGAAACACATACCAAAGATGCATCGCTGTGTACTGTTGAAGTATGAAATATTATGACAAATTAATATTAGAATTTCTGTCTCACTCATCAGTTGTTCGGTATGACTGTAAAGCTGGCTTACTCTTCCTTACGACTCTGGTGTGGCTGGCCAAGTTCCTCACATGGCATTGGTTCATTTGATTAAGCTAGGATGTTGGCTATGGCAGGAATACCCAGTGACTCCAAAAGCTTTTGTGTGTCCAGGTAGCTGAGAGTGGCTGGCCTGTCTCTCAACAGGACAGTTGAACTTCAGAGGCCTTAAGTTTAGCAGACAACAAGACCCACAGTCACTTGTGCTGATTCCTGCTGCATAAGCCAGTCAGCAAATCTAGCCTGCACTCAAGGAACAGGGGGAAGATTTTTACTTCATTTGAATGATAGGGAAGTAGTGCAGGTCAGGTTTGAAGAAAGTCTACCATAGTAATTTGCAACATTATGAGCCAAAGATCCTGTAAATGTAATTTTATGCCACTATGCTATTGGAAGGTTTAAGGACTGTACCATTTATACTCCTCTCAGTATAAATGGTACGCCTTGCTATTCTGGCTCTGGTTAATGCCTTTAAGTTTGATGCCTACTTCAAAGTTGAGATTTGGGAGGTGGTACTTCTGTGTTACTGCACTCCTAATCAGTTGTTGGGGGTACAGAAGTTACTAATAAGTCGGTTGCTGACTTTTAGTACCACTTATTAACACTTGGCTTTATGTTTTTATATCATACTCATCACACATACTGGGGATTGATTCCATCACTATGTGAGGCAAGTGCAAGGCCACTGAAGTACATTTCTAGCCCTTTGGGTGGTTGGTTTTTATTTGAGGGGGTGGGGCTTTGTTTTGAGGCAGAGCAGGGACTCTGTGTGTGTAACCCAAGCTCTGCTTGAACTGAGAGAATTCTTCTGTGTTGGCTCCAAGTGTTAGGATTACAGGATACCCATGCTGGCTGCCCAACTTAACATCATGAAGAACTGAGTCAGTCTTAAGTTACTTTATCTTTTTGTTGGGTTGGTTTTTTGAGACAAGGTTTCTTGGTGTAGCCTTGCCTGGCCTGGAATTCCCTGTGTACATCAAGCTGTTCTTGAACTCCTAGAGATCCTCTGCCTCTGTCTCCTGAGTGCTGGGATTAAAGGTGTATACTACCACTGCCCGGCTGAGTTACTGTGTCTTTATGACCTTTATTTCTACACACATAGAATGAGTAGTAAGATTTAAAGTTGGTTCATTTACCTCCCCCATCCATCATTGGAACATAGGTCTTCAAACATTCAAGCCTTTTCAGAGACTAGAAACTAGAATTTAGGTACCACTTCTCTTTTTAAGAGTTGGCTTCTTTGGGGTTCAGCCCAGATGAAAATGGACTTGACTTTGATTTTCACAGTAACCGGTTACTAAAAGGAAGTAGGTTTGGTGAGAGTGTTTTATTTACCCAGACCTCCTTTCTCCCTCCAATGCAATTGCATCTTTGCTTTAAATCAGCTATAAAGGGTTGATTTTATTTGGTATGTGACAATTCCAGTAAGCTTTAAGTTAATAATTTTAAGCAAAACTACAGAATGAAATTTTATCATTTGTAATGATCTGTAGATTAGAAAATTGCTGTGATAGAATTAAAGGTCTTTTTACATCTATAGCCTTTTCACTGCCTTGATTGATTAATTTATATTTTTGAGGCAGTCTCAGTTTGTAGTCTAGGCTGGTCTCAAAGTCATGGCAGTCCTCCTGTCTCAGTCTTCTGGAGTGCTAGGGTTACTAGAGAAATGAAGTTTTTGTTTTGAAATCTTTTCTTAGTCCTCTTGCTTAAGAAATATTCTTCACTTTGGTTTGTAAATGTTATCTTCTTACTGCTTGTTTTGTTTTCTTCTTCTGAAGTCTCTTTTGGAAAAGTTCCTGATCCCCAATGCTTCGCAAGCAGAAAGCAAAGTCTTCTACTTGAAGATGAAGGGCGACTACTATCGTTACCTGGCTGAGGTTGCTGCTGGGGATGACAAGAAAGGTAGGGTTGGTTTGCTTAGTTGAGCTTCTTGAAGGTGGTTGTGTGGAGAACCCAGCTTGGAAGTCCCATCCGTCCTCTCCGCTGCTTAGGCACTGATGTAGTGTGCTGTGTCAAGCTCATTCGGCTGTGCCTTCTGCCGATGCTGGATTTTAAGCTTGAAGCTTTCTGAAAAGCCACTTGGTGTACAAGAAATGTCTTCTCATTGTTTGCAGAGTGAGATGAGGAATCCCAATGCCCCCAGAACAGAATGAGGAAATCACTAGAAGTATACCAGTAATGAGGTTCCAGCGCTGCGCAGTATTAGTATTTAGTTTGGGTGTGTTCGGAGGCCAGAGCAGTGCAGTCAGGTTCCCTGGGACTGGAGTTACAGACAGTTGTGAGCTGTCATTAGGGTGCTAGCAATTGAACCCAGGTCCACTGGAAGAGCAGCAGGTGCTCTCAATACGAGTCATCATTCCACCCCCGCCCCCACTACAACAGTAGTCAGTGGCTAGTGTGATCCAGGACACCATTTTGTTTGTTTTAAAGAGTCTAATTTGCTTAAGATTGTTAGATTTCATTTTTCAGGGGACACATGCAATTTTTAAATGAAAGGTTTGCCTGGAGTGAAGCTGGATCACAGACTTTCAAAATGCATTTTACTCTGATTTGTTTCCCAGGAATTGTGGACCAGTCACAGCAAGCATACCAAGAAGCATTTGAAATCAGCAAAAAGGAAATGCAACCAACACATCCTATCAGACTGGGTCTGGCCCTTAACTTCTCTGTGTTCTATTATGAGATTCTGAACTCCCCAGAGAAAGCCTGCTCTCTTGCAAAAACAGTACGTATTTTACTTGTTACATGGAAGGAAATGGAAGGAAGCAGTCTTCATTACCTGGATGCTGAAGTGTACTTGTTTTTGCACTTGCAGGCTTTTGATGAAGCCATTGCTGAACTGGATACATTAAGTGAAGAGTCCTACAAAGACAGCACGCTAATCATGCAGTTACTGAGAGACAACTTGACAGTGAGTACCAGTGGCACTGTCCGTGCTGGGGTGGCCAGAGAGGCTGGACTTGAGGACTCTTACTACAGGGACTCTTGACAGTCTTTTACAACCACTAAATACAATGTCCCGTCTACAATTTTCCTTTTCATCCCAGAGTTGTGCGCTTAATCAGCACAAGTGAAACTGGCCCCGGTTTCTTAGGGTAGAGAAAGGGGGTTAAGTTACAGACTAGCCTAGACTATATAATGACTGCCTACCTGGGCTACGTAGCAAGAGTTTGTCTCAAAAAAAGAGAAGGAAATGTGGGGCTATATGTTTAAATTGCTTTGAAGTTGGTTTTTTTGTCCCTTAGTTGTCCCATGTTTTCGTGTGGCTGTGAACAAGATGCTGTGTGATGAGGTGCTGTTTGTAGTCCCTGGGGAAGGTTGCAGCTACTGCATTGCTGTGCTGAAGATTGGAGAATGAACCAAAAGAAACCCAGCAGTTCTTAATACAGATTGAGAATTCATTTCAGTTGTTTTTATTATTTAAATTGGGATCCGAATAAAGCCCATGCCTTACGGTTGGCTTCCTGGGTTTTCCCTTCAGATAAGAATTAAATTTGAAGTTTTGAGGCTTAGGTGAAAAAGTTACCCAGCATCTGCTGTGTGTCAGGGAGAGGTAGAAATGGGTGTGGATAGTCTAATGTTTCTGTCTTAGAGACCTAGACCACCACCCTTTGACATGTTCCACTTCCAACTCGAGTCTGCTGCCAGATAGCTAGAATTACTTTAGTCAATGCAGTTGGGGTTGTCTATAAACTTAAGAGACTCAATGGAAAAAATGAGGGCTAGTGTAGAATTGAAGAATTGCCCTGTGTGCTGTAGGTGGAATTCAGGGCCTTGTACATACTAGGAAGGTGCTTTACCACTGAGCTGTACCCCCAGCCCAAATGAAAGAAAATGTCAACTATAACTTTTTTTTTTGGTTTTTCGAGACAGGGTTTCTCTGTGTAGCTTTGTGCCTTTCCTGGAGCTAACTTGGTAGCCCAGGCTGGCCCCGAACTCACAGAGATCCACCTGGCTCTGCCTCCCAAGTGCTGGGATTAAAGGCGTGCGCCACCAGTATGTGTGAGGCACTGAATTTAATCTTCAGTAGTGCTAAAAAAAATTTTTTTTCTTTTCTCTATTTTAATTTTCCTTGCCAAACACCAGTGGGGAGGCTGAGGCAGGAGAAACATGAATTCTAGGCCAGCCTGGACAATATGTATGACTTAGTGTCCATTTTTTTTTTTTCTTACTTTGAAGTGAGGATGTGGTACTTAAAGTAGACCCATGGGTATCTAGTACTATGATGCTCCTGACTTAATGCTTTCATCCATCAGCTGTGTGGTGGGTACAGCAGAGTGCACAGCGGCCAGTGAGTGAGCAGGAAAGGGAAGGCTCTGCTCTGAGCTTGTCACTCTGTCTGTTTACCCTGTGCCTCGTGAATGGGCTGCTGTCGACAGGCTGCTTGACACCACTAAAAAGAGCTGTTCTGTATTGCACCTTCTAACATGGAGGCTTGACACAGAATTCTGAAGCCTTACAGTTAGGACCGGGGGACAGGAGACTCCTCTCTCCTTGTTTAATAGTACGTGCACACAGGCTGCACGAAGTCATTTGGCTAGCTTTATATGACCCTAGACTCCGCTTTCTAGGCCACACAGTAGGGTCAATACTGTTAGGTTGGGTTTCTTGTTCATCACTCTTCAGTTTATAATTCTACTTGATCCTTTTTTAAGTGTTTTTTCTTAAAATATTTTTATGTTGAAGCAGTTGGACTAATTTAGAAGCTGTCTTTTAGCCAATTGAAACACTATTGCATTGCCATAATGAAAAGCTAATAACTGTGAAACACTTTTTTTTTGGTAGAATATTTGGTTCTAACCATAACATTTATTCAGCATTCATTGTAATTCTTACCAGTACAAGGTTTTCCTCATTTGAGGAAATGTCAGGTAAAGCTCTGTGCAGTTTAGCTCAGCTGATTGGTCCGCTGCTGCTGTTAGAAGCTTCATCACGAGTAATCTCATCCATTTCCATGATCACAGCCTTCCCAGAAAACACTGAAAACCATTGATTTTAGAGTGTTAGTTTTTAAATTTTTAATAGTTGGGAATTTTGAATTTGTTTTTCTATAGTTGAGAATGGGGTTTGTGTTCATAGGGGTGAGAGGACACATTGAGGAGTGGGTTGTTGGGCTTGGGAAGCCCTGTGGTTAGAGACTAAAAGACTGAGATTCCTCTTTCTCTTAGGAATAGCCACTAGTTACCTAAATCTCTTTTGTTTAAAGATAGATGTGTTGTGAGTCTGCCTTGCCTAAGGTCAGGCTGTTTTCAGGGATCCTTTTTAAGCTTTTCAGTTGATGTGCGTGGTCACATGCCAGGACTTTGCCGTGCGTGCAAGAAAGGTGGGGTGTTGGTTTTTTTCCTTGTCAACCTGAAGCATGCTGAAAAAATGTTTCCCTCTCTTAACAGTTGTGGACATCGGACACCCAAGGAGACGAAGCAGAAGCAGGAGAAGGAGGGGAAAATTAACCGGCCTTCCAACCTTTGTCTGCCTCATTCTAAAATTTACACAG